CGTCGCCCCCAAGGGCGTTAAGCACCCAAAGGCTTGTACGGTTACCGTCCCCCCAAGAGCAATAAGCTCCCAAGAGCTTGTACAACCATCGTCGCCTCAAGGGCAAAGCTCCCAAGAGCTTGTACAGCCTCAGTCGCCCCCAAGGGCAATAAGCTCCCAAGAGCTTGTACAGCCATCGTCGCCCCCAAGGGCAATAAGCTCCCAAGAGCTCGGACGGCTACCGTCGCCCCCAAGGGCAGCAAGCTCGCCCCAAGAGCAATAAGCTCCCAAGTCGCCCCCAAGGGCGATAAGCTCCCAAGAGCTTGTACAGCCATCGTTGCCCCCAAGGGCAATAAGCTCCCAAGAGCTCGTACGGCTACCGTCGCCCCCAAGGGCAGCAAGCTCGCCCCCAAGAGGAAGAAGCTCCCAAGAGCTCGTACAACCATCGTCGCCCCCAAGGGCAAAGCTCCCAAGAGCCCGTGCAGCCTCAGTCGCCCCCACGAGCAAAGCTTTCGAGGGCTCGTACAGCCTCAGTCGCCCCCAAGGACAATAAGCTCCCAGGAGCTTGTACGGCCGTCGTCGCCCCCAAGGGCAATAAGCTCCCAAGAGCTCGTACAACCATCGTCGCCCCCAAGGGCAAAGCTCCCAAGAGCCCGTGCAGCCACAGTCGCCCCCAAGGGCAATAAGCTCCCCAAGAGCTTGTACAGCCATCGTCGCCCCCACGGGCAATAAGCTCCCAAGAGCCCGTGCAGCCTCAGTCGCCCCCAAGGGCAATAAGCTCCTCAAGAGCTTGTACAGCCATCGTCGCCCGAAGACAATTAACTCCCAAGGGCTGTAACAGCTACCTTCGCCCCCAAGGGGCAGCAAGCTCGCCCCCCCAAGGGCAATAAGCTCGAGAGCTAGGACAGCTACTGTCGCCTTCAAGGGCAGGAAACTCCCAAGAGCTCCCACCGCCCACGGCCGCCCGTCAGACCCGCGATAGTGGCGCCCGTAGCGGTCTGCCACCCCCCCCCCCCCCCGGTCATCCCGCGGCGCTTGCCCGGTCGCCACCGGCGCTCTGCTCCTTCAGCGCACCCTGCCGAAGCTTGTCTAAGCTCGTTCTTATCAACCAGGAAGCAGGGATAGAAGAAATAGCGTTTCTCGTCCCCCGAGCAAGTGATTGTTCAAGCTGTCCAAGCCAGTGTAACCTTTGTTCAACCATCTCCCGAAATGAACATTAGACAAAACGGAATTCCGAAGGTCCAATCCCAGATGACACCACTAATCGGTCCGCGGCGTCGCATTGTATTCTGCCAACAACCAGCGACCCGCACCACTCGGTCAAACTGACCCTCGACCGCTCACGCGGCTGCTCCTCGCCCGGCAAAGGCGGTCAAGCCACGCAAAGACGCGGGCACGTCAGAGCCCGCGTGGTCCGGAACAGCGACAGCCGGTGGGTATCCGTGGTGTGCCTGCGAACCGACGGCGCGCCGCTGCGCGCGCTTTAGGTCTGTAAAAACTCAATAAGACATCATCTGGGACCACCACGATCACCCCGTTCCGGAAGGGTCACTGCCCCCTCGACTCTCCCTCAAACACCATGTTCCTTTCTCCTTGGCCCTGTCCCACTGCCCGTCCCATGACTCCAGCGGACAGTCACCCATGCCCCAGCTGTGAGCCATGCGGCCGGGCGCCGCCATACGACACCGTGACCGATAAGGCCGGGCTGTTTACTTTATTGGGTCTCCGCTGCCCGGTCCGCCGCGCCCGGTCCGCCGCGCCGCGGCGCCGGCGGGCCCGTGGACCGCGCGGACAAAGGGAGGGCCATTCCCGTTTTTGAGCGGTATTTCACTCGATGCTGCTACCACGCTGCTATCGCATTTGCGAGCTAAAGTCACACATGTGACGACATATTGGTAGGGTTGGAGATACGGATGTACGGATGTCATGAAACCCAATTAGCACGTGTGATAGCGCACGCTGGCAGCCTGGCAGCGGCCGTAAACAGGGCCCTGGCCCGGCGCCTAGATCTGGCTGCGTGCGGCGTGCTTCGATGACGTCACCCACCCGGCTCCGCTCGCTCAGCCGGAGCGCAGGGGTTAAGCGCCGCTGCACCGTGCAGCGCGCAGCGATACCAGGGTGCAGGTGGTCACGGGCCAAACCTGATATCAGCCCTGAAAATGTCACCCGAGGTCACCAAATCACTGACCGCGTTCGCCCCCAAGGGTACCGCACCGCACCCACCAGCCCCCAAAGGCTTCAAAGACCAACCAGCAGGCCCCTCAGCCGCTGCCACACTCCATATGCACAGGGACGTCTGACCCCGTCCCGCTCCCCCGCCGCAGTCGGCAGTCGCGCTGGCAACCAGGCACCGAACTGTGACAACAGGAGACCAGGCAAGCGCTAACCCACAGTCTGGGTCCTCACGGAGCGCTCCCACGACCACAGCTGCCGCGGTGGCGCGCTTCAAGCGTCCAAAAGCTCTTGACGAAGCAACGAAAAAAAACGTCCACGACCGTCTCTCCCAAGCCGATATTGCCAGCCTATTCGATTTGTAGCACGAGATGTCGGACAACACCATCCAGATTAGACAGCGCGTGACTCCGCAATGACGCAAGTCGCGCGAATTCTGTCTACACGCTGATTATACATCGACAGCTGACAGCCATGACAATAAGCTCCCAAGAGCTGGAAAGTGGCGCCTTCGCGGTCTGCCCACAAAAGCATCCCTGCTCTCGAGAGCGCAGGTTACTGCGCCCATCAAGCTGTCGCGGCGCACGGCCAGTTACACAACAGCGAACTCGGCCCTTCGCTTACCTGTAGTCAGTGGCATCTACTGACAAACCTCGCGTCATGAGTCGTCACAGGCGGTTGGTTCTCTGCCTCCCAGCTCCTGCGCTGCGCTGAATCGCAAGGCACCGCCCCTCTGAGTACCATGCCACCACTCCCTCTTTCGCCGTCACTATTCATAGCCTCTCCGTCACTCCGAGTGTCACACAACGAGAGAAGCCAAAAAATTGTTGAGACCATGACCGATGGTCCGTCCCCTTCGCTGGCTCGTCTCTGACTGTCCTATATCCCGCGCTCCCCTCGTGCCTCCCGCCCCAGCCCGCCCGCTCCGCTTATCTCTCTCCCTCCCACCCTCCCTCCCTCTCCCTCGCTCTCTCCGGCATCTGTCTGCCCTCGCCCAACGCCTCTTAGCCGGGGGGCCGCTAAGTTGCCATTCATGTTTCAGAATACAGTCAGCACATCACATCACGTGCAACACAACACAACACATCACATCACATCACATCATATCTGTGACTCACGCCAAACCACCTGTTCCAAACGTCCCACTTACGATACGTCACGCGTTTATGTTGCTATATGTAGGTATGTTATAGACCGTCTGTACGTTTAAACGTATACCTGCAATTGCTCACGTTATATCATCCGTCTCTCTTTCCATATTGGTTCAGGTCACGTGCACGGTGCACACTTAACCGTCACAGCGGACCTTTCCCTAATATCATGCATAATGCAGACATTTCATTGTTACAGGCTGTTCACCCTACTTTCATTGAATGAGCTACACAATTACCTGAGTGTACGTTAAGTTCACTGCACATTAATAGGCAATGAATATTCACATTCTAAACCTCCTTAGCCCATCGCTCACATTCGAACCCTCTCAAAGTCGGAATGCACTCATGGTTAGTCCAAAACAGCTCGAGTGGTATTATATTTGAATACTTTTGATATCTGAATATATTTATATTTATATTTGAATATATTTGAATACCTCCCCCAGTGCAATGCAGTATTTGAATACGCCGTCCCCGGCAGTGAGCGGCTCGCCCGGCGCCGGGCCGCTCGGTCACTTGACCGCCATTATCGGTGAAACTGTATGCAAATATCGGCTGTCGGACGGCGCCAGTACCCCCGATGTGTGTCGACACGGGTGTCGGCGTCATTGTTCGGTCGATGATTGGTGTGACTCCCGTGATATTATGACCGACGTCCGGGACAAATGGAAACTGATCGCCTAGCTAAGTCGGCATAATGCGGAGATAATTGAAACGGTGTGCAGTGTGCACAGTACAAACAGACCACACAGGTGGAAAATTTCGACCGAGTTTGCCGCGCTGCTTAAATTGCAGGTTCAAAGAGTTTTGGTTTTTGAAAAACTGAAGACTTCTAAACATTTTATTGTATATAGGTCTAAGTAGTAAGGATTGGATTTATTTTCTCCGAATTTGTGCCGTAAAAAATTAAATTGTCAATGCCTATCTTTTTTTGCCAGCATCTGTCTTATTTAGAATGGGTACCTGGAACCATGGAGCTGCGGCTGATGGCGAAATTCTATACTCAGTTGCAGAGCCGGTTCATACACGAAAGTGACGGAAACGGTGCGGTGTCTCCGTTCTTATCTGTCCATCACATTCAATCGCATGGTGTTCCGTTTAATTGCGATTCGTTTCATCAACAAGTGCCGTTCTAATCCACTCCAGAGCCGACACGCAGAGGTGGCGATAGAGGCAGTTCCGTTCCGTTTCATTACGTTCCGTTCCTTTCCGCGCCAGAGCCGGTACACGGATATTGTACCGGAGACAGTTTTGTTCCGTTCCATAACGTTTTGTTCCGTTCCAGAGCCGGTACACGGAGGTTGTAGATATCGGAAACAGTTCCGTTCCATTATGAACTGCCCTTTCCGTTCTAGAGCCGGTACACGCGGAGGTTGTATGAGAAACAATCGTTCCATTACGTTCCGTTTCGTTCCGTTCCAGAGTCGGTACACGGAGGTGGTGTCGCAGACAGTTCTGTACCTTTACGAACTGCCCTTTCCGTTCCAGAGCCGGTGCACGGAGGTTGTGTCGCAGACAGTTCCGTACCTTTACAAACTGCCCTTTCCGTTCCAGAGCCGGGACATGGAGGTGGTGGCAGAGTCATGAGGTGGTTGCGTTCCATTACGAAGCGTTTTGTTCCGTTCCAGAACCGGTTCACGGAGGTTGTGTCGCAGACAGTTCCGTTCAATTACGTTACGTACCGTTCCGTTTCAGAGCCGGTACACGGAGGTTGTGTCGGAGACCAAGCGGACCGTGCGGCGCGAGGAGACTCCTCCACCAGCCGAGCAGACTTCCGGCGGGATGAGGCAGCTGGACGCCCTGCTACACGACCTCAATGAGGCGCGCTACAACACCCTCGGCAGCCAGGGCAAAGGTCAGTCACTGGGCGTGGGTCATCGCTCCTTTCGGTCCTTTCGGGTCATCACGAGGTCAGTCACTGACTTCAGACTTTTACAACTAAGGAAGCGGATGTCATCAGGCATCATGACTCCCCGGTCCTTCTCTAGGCCGGGGTTCCGTTAATTTGTTTCATGACGTTCCTCCGCGGTCACCAGAAGTCTGGGTAGCAGTGGCGGCGGAAGGTATTCTAGGATAGGGGTGCAAACGATATTGAAGCGCCCCTTCCCGCTGGGCGCCCCTTACCATGCCGATGGCCGTCCCTGCACTGGAAAATCAGTTTCACCCCTATACAGGCGCCCATAGAAGTTTGCAGAGTGCTATTCCTGGTCATAATCATCTCCCCAGTAAAAAAAAAAAACGCAAAATACGCCCTAGCACTAGGGGTGTAACCGCCCATACGGACAGTGCAATTTTACAGGCCCCAATCTCGGACCTCCCTTAACATTCATATGTTGTAAACGGCAAACCACCCCCGATAAATGTTACACAAACTAATTTCCTCTCGCATATCGGCCATCAGGCGCCCCTTTTTGACACTGCAACGCTATAAGCCCTCATATGTTCGTGTTGGCGTTCGGAGGCTATCGCCTTCCAAGACGTCTCCATAAATGTTTCTTTTTCGTCCCACACACAGGCGTCCCTCTTTCGCATGCAGGCGCCCCTCTTCCGCATGGCGCGCTTCTCGAGTAGCTGCGCCCTCCTAGCCTTTATCGCCTGGCAAGATTATATTCGACAGGGTCGGCAGCATCTGCCTTTGTTTCAGATAAGGATGCCCTCCACTCTTCAGCATATCAAAAGATACTTTTCCCACGTCATTGCCACCCTCTTCGTGTCACAAGTGCCTTTATCAGTTGCGGTGTCGCCTCGCACTGCTCAGCTTTATGGCTGCCGCACCTCTTAACTTCCTGCCTCCTCTACAGATTTTCGAGGCGCCCCTTTCCAATTTCCATAGCTTTAGGGTGCAGCTGCCCCCCTTGCCCCCCTGCTTCCGCCGCCACTGCTGGGTAGTATGGTAGCCACTGACCACCTCTGATGGCTTCCCCGCTGCCTCTGCCCTACTGCCCTACTTGGTATGTAGATTTCGGGCGCGTCTAACGCCCGTATTTTTTCCGCCTGGCTCTGCACGTTCATCAGTCCGCGCCCAGTGTTTGTGTGTGAAAGCCTCGGTCTTTAGTCGGCTTTGGCTTACTGATAGACGGAGCCAGATTTAGGGAGGATTGTTTGCTTAGTTAATGCTGATGCGTTGCTGATAGCGATAGGTGACTTCACGAAAGTTGGAAACTTCCGTTCCAGTTCGCTGAATTTGAAACGTTACCCCGGTTACGTTGTTTGAACACAGTAGCAGGCAGCTTCGTAACCCTTTCACAAGCGCAAACGAGGGAGTGTAGTATGCTGATTCTCCTTATTGTAGCAAAGGCTGGAAGAGTTATCAACGGTCACACCTTTCTATGCTCATTTCCGTCCGCGCATTAATGAAAGTGGCCGTCGCCCGTCATGGAATATGCGATTATGACCGCCGCCAGTGATCATTACAAAACAATACACATTCTGTATAAGCGGATGCTCTATCACTCTATACTCCCACACCGACAATGATACGCATTTATTGATATGTTCATTGATATGCATTAGGTACCCAAAACTCACCGTCGCACCGGGCGCCATAAGAACAGACATTGCTGTAACTTCAGTCCCGCGACCCGTTCCGCACCACTGCCTCTCGCCCCAGGCGACGGTCGGGTCACGGTCAGGGTCAGGTGGGTCACGGTCAGCTGGCGTCGCTCAAGGTCACGGTCCGCGGCGACCGTCTCTGACGCGCCGCGATGACTGACGACGCGGGCGTGGCACGTCGCCAGCTGACGAGCGCAGCGTGTTTGCCTCAAGGCCCCGTGGTGCGCCTGGGGCGATGCACACTGGGCCGGGGGTCCGGAAAAGTGCTAGAAATTATTTGTGATTGAGTTGTTGATCTCAGTGACAAGCAAACATGCTAAAAACGAAGTGGGGCTGCTTAACCCTCGCCGGACCTATTGTCGGACCCCCCACCCCCTCGGCCGGCCGAGGGGGGAGGGTTGGTACGACCCCTTTTTGCCGTTTCGCCCCTAATGGAGCTAGAGCCTCGCGGAAAAAACAAGCGTGTGCGCCGTTTCAAGGCGGAACGATTGATACCCGATTTTAAGGTCCCAGGTCAACCGGTAACCTCTGAGGTGAAGTCAAAAAGCCCAAGGTAGGGTTTGGTTTTTGGCAAATGATTTCGCAAAAAATGGCCGCAGAGCAGAGATTTTGGCACCATCGTGTTCGCCTGGCTTAGGCGCGTCGAATGGTATACTTTTTGTTCGGGTGAGGTCAACTTAAGGTATTGACCTCGAGTCAAGGTCAGTTCAGAGCCCATCAGGCCACGAACTTAATCGAAGGAGGTCGTATCGCATATCATTCGATTCAGGAGGTCTTCCCGAGTCCATTGGTGGCTTTCCCGAGTCGCTGGCTCAATTTGATCATGAGTTATTGACGAGAAACTCCTATGACCGGTGTGACGTCATAAATGACGTCACGGAAGGAGGTCAAAAATGCAAAAGTAAGGCATCGGATCTTGCAAGGAGTGCACGAAATCACGATTCCGTGTGCTTTAGATAGTTTGAAATCATTCCATGCACAAAAACAACAGTTTCCTTATTTCCCCATTCACTTTTAATGGTGAGGTCACGTGACCTCGAAGAGTAGCAGGCATTAGCAAAAATTGCGAGTAGGGCATGACAGAAAGATGATTGGTGGTTTGTATGGCATGGCCATTTTTAGCGGCTCGAAATAACATTTCTCAAAAAGTCTAACAAAAGAGCAAGTTGTTGTTAATTATCACCGACTTGTGTTTAGGGGTTAATAATGACTGAATTTTTTAGTTTGGCCCAGAAATGTTGACAGCATTGTGTGCGTTGATCAATTCTGAGCTCAGGGACATATATTTTATTTAGATTATAAGCGTTTGCTTTTCACAACTTCCAGCGTTTTAAAGAGCGTCGGGCCTTCAGTAGAGCGGCGAGGTGACAATTGCCCCTACATCATGTGGTTTACTGGCGCATATCTCGAAAAGTAGCAGGGAAAAGCAGCAAAGCACCTATATGGAACAAAAGATGAGTAATCAGAGGCTAGTATAAAATGTTCATTTTTAGCCGCTCGAAATAACGTTTTTATAAAAGTCTAATCAAAAAGTTGGATATGATTTTAAATTACGTCTTGCAGCTGCTTGCAAACAGCTAGCTTATCTTGGAGAAAAGCAATGCAATATGTCAGAATGATGTTGGCACAGTGAACAACAGTGCCCTGAACTAGTCTGACAGGAAATTTCGTTCAAAACGACGATTGGTCAACTAATAAATTACCACTAAAGTTCATCATTAAAATCGGTAAATGTGGTGCCCTATAGAGAGTCTAAATTGTCTTGTGTTTGGTGACAACTGACGACCTCAATTTTGACCTTAGGGCAAAACTAGCATCGGAATCGTATTCTTCGATCAATTTGGGATTAAATGATACCTATTTTGTTCATATTGCGGACAGTCAGTTTGGGGGAATTTCTAGCGCTTTTTCAGGCTGCCGGCCTACAGTGCGATGTGGCCTGGCGGGGAGGGTCACGGCAAGCTATGCTTTGAGCGCTGCCAGGTGTCTGGCCGGACATGATCTCTGTCCCCCGCTGCATGCTGGCTGTTTTGGTAGGTGAGATCTCGCACTCCGTCCAGGCAGACAGGTGCTCCGAATGTCAAAGATCAGGGATCACAGCTCGGGCAGATTGGTCCGTCAGACGCGATGTTTATCTGGTGTTCAGGCCCGCCTGGAGATCAATGATGCTGAGGTGTTACGGAGACAGGGAATCAGACATCTGCTGTCACTTTTACAGCGATAGATGCCCGTTGTAGCTATCGTCGATATCTCATCTTGATCTCATTAACCAACTTAGTCCTTCTACATAGTTGTAAATCATCACGTCTCTTTTGTATGATATAAACACATTTGAACACCTTATCAATGCCAATTTGACTATTGTTTAGTGTATTTAATCTAAACTCTAAGCTTCTCCTCCAGTTAATTTAATTAACCCGTACACCGACGGGGGTCTGCGCCAACTTAGAACCGACGGCGGGGGGGGGGGGCGGATGACCGCCCCCCCCCCTGAGATCTCGAGAACGAAGCAAGATAGCGACAAGCGGTAAACGGCATGGGGTATGCACGGACAAGGTCTACAATTTTTACGAAGGTCATTTTCAGGTCAGGTAAAAGATGACGTCACAGGGGGTCAAAAAAGTCAAAATGTGGCGCCAGATTTGGAGAGTTTTTTTTTCTCGAATAACTTTCGAATTGGTCAAGCTAGAAACAAACTAAGGGCACCATCGTGATCCTCTCGTCAATCCGTTTCGAACCATATATATGTTGACCTCGAAAGGTCAAGGTCAAAGGTTGACCTCAGGTCACGTGACCTCGAGGTCATCATGCATATCGTTCGATGCGCCTTGACGAGCTGAACACAATAAAACCATCCGCGCGGCTGTATCTTGTTCCTGTAAGGAGTTATTGGCAAAAAACCTTTGGTGACCTTTGATGACGTCACATGACCTTACAGCTGCCCAACAGCAAAACAGGCCTCAAGGTAGTGAAGGGTATATGGGTATATATATGGGTATATATATGGGTATGGTTAGGTATGGGTATATATATAAGGGTATATAGTCAAGGTATATGAAGTCACGTATGCCTTGTATGGTATATGGGGCCATTCTAACGCGTTTTAGTGGAAAAAAAAAACAGTGTAGCCGCCGACGACCTCAGGGCCCCGGATCTCGCGCCGACCGGTAGTAAAACGCGCTAGCTCCGCCTGTGCTGACCATATATTGCTCGTAGCGCAACAGAACGGAACAAAGCGTAGCGTTTCTGGAATCGAAACAAAAGAAACTTAACATATGACCAAATGAACACCAACCAAACGAA